CTACACAGCTAGGCTGTCTGAGTGGAGATAAAAATCCAAATTTGCTCCCCTTGTCACCACTCCCCCACCCCCAACACTCACAAAGGAATTGGACTTTCACCCTTCGGCTCAGGAAGTGCAGAATTTCTGTTTCCAGACTGCGGGGACCTTGGTGGGAGGGAGTGCCCCCAGTCCATGCCCAGCCCAACAAAGAAAGTTGTTCCAGATTCAGCCGAAGGGCAGAGCTGAGGGGGTTGGAGGGTAGAAGAAACAGACTGCCAGGTGTGGACGGGCGCCTAGCGTGGACAAAGCTTTCACGTGTCAAGGGGGAAAGAGGCCAAAGCTCTTCAGGCAGGAGCGGGGCCCTTGGCGATGTGCGCTGGATCCCTACCCTAGCACCACGCCTCCCGCTCTCATCCCCAGCAGTTCCCCAAAGGCCGAAAGCTATTCTTGGCTTTTTCTAAAAGAGGCATTTGAAGCCATGAGCCAATTTTTTCCATTCCTGAGCTGGGTATCTCTATTTTGGGCGTTTGTTGTTTTCCATGAGTTGCGAATGTGGCTGCGAAGCCGGCCTTTCCTGGACAGCTATCGTGAGGGAGCGAGGCTGGAGCAAGGCGGGCCAGCGGTTAAAAATACTTCCTACTTCATTTCTCCTTTGAAAACAAAGCCCTGGGGGCCTTGTGCAATTGTTGAGCCTGGAAACAGTTTTCCAGGGCAGAAAACTGTGTGCTGTTTCTTGAGTTGGGTCCCAGAAAACAGTAACTTGCTGTGTGACCTTGGGCAACTTGCTTAACATCTCTGGGCCTGGTAGCCTCCTCTCTACAATGAGGCCAGGTGGAAAGAAGACCTTGAATGGATACAGTCCCTCTAGCTCCCAGTTTACAAGCTGTCTGGGAAAGCTGAGGCTGTGGTGGCAGAAACTATGATGGAATGCTATCAGAAAGCTAAACAGACTTCTAGTCCCACCTTCAACCACTCTATAAGGATCAATTGCCTAAGGTTCAGGATGGAGACTTGGCTGCTGCCCTCCAGGTCAGAGTCTAGGCCAACCCCTTCTTCTTGGATGGGGTACATTCTCTGAAAGTATCCAATCCAGGGCAGCAGCTTCTGCCATCTAGACAGCCAAGCACACTCTTACAGACAGTAGCTGTTGTGCAAAACCTCAGCAAGTCAACACCTGCCTGTGCCAACCTGGGAACAATATGATCTAAATTTAATTGCCTCCTGAGGAAACTGTTTGCAGTAGAAAGTAGTTTTCTACAGTCAGTAAGTCTTGCCTGGGAACGACATCTTTGTTTGCTTCCTTAAAAGCATAAACACCTTCATTGCCTAAGCCACTATCTAACACACCTCCACTTCCCGCCCGTAGCCCGCCCAGGACCCCCTGAAAGCAGTTGCCCTGACCCTTAATGTCTTGGTGTCTCTCTGTATGTCTTAATAAAAAAATTTTTTTTTTCTTTATTGATATTAGAGAGAGAGAGGAAGGAAGAGGGAGAGAGAGAAAGAAACATTGATTAGAGAGAACATCCACTGGCCACCTCCTGCATGCCCCCCACTGGAGATCAGGCCCACAACCTGGGCATGTGCCCTGATGGGGAATCAAACCTGCAACCTCTTGGTGCATGGGTCAGCGCTCAATCACTGAGCCACATCGGCCAGGTAAAAAGCCACTAATAAATGTAAAAATATTGAATAAATCTGCTCTGTGACATCACTCCAAATTCAGTTTCCTCTCTGCCCCAAAGATAAGGACTATTATCAGACTGGGTAAAATCTTTCAGAACTTTCCCTGTGTGTTTTCATAAATATGTGTATCCAGCCCTAGCCGGTTCGACTCGGTGGTTGGAGCATTGGCCTGCGGACCAGAGAGTCCTGGGTTCAGTTCCTACTAGGGGCACATACCAAAAAAAAGATTCATTTAAAATATGTGTATCCATGGGGTAGAAAAATATGTAACTTTGTTTTATGAGTACTATATTTAAAAATAAATGATGTAATTCTAATTGTTCCATTCTGCAACTTGCTTTCCCACCCAGCAGGATGTTTTGGAGATCCCTCCACATCAGAACAGAGATCTGCTGCCCGTCTGAGATACGCTGCATGACTTGGTGTGGAGCTACCACAGTGTTTTTATTTAATCCCCTCTAGATGGTGCTTAATCTTTTTATAATTACATGAGTCCTCTGAGAACATTCTGGACCCCATTAGACTATTCTCAGGGCTCAGGAGCTCACAAAGTGTTCCCAGAGACCAAAAACTGCCTTCTCCTAACTCCTGCCCCTTGCTGGTTCAGTTCCAAGAAGAAAATCTGGCCCTGGGGAAGTGGGGTGCACTATTATGATCACCACTATAATGAATGTTTGGGGCAATTAGTAAATATCGTCGGTGATGTGTTTGTTACCAAATCTGCAGGCACTGGCTCCCACAAACCAACCCATTCTGGGATAGAGGGGGAGGCCACGGTGTCATTCACTCTGAGCTCAGCCTAGAGAGGTCTTCCATCCTAGGGCCAGAGAGCAAGGCTAGGGTTTCAGGGTTACCAACCTGCAGCCATGGCCCATTTGTTTAGAGTGATGGCTGGGCAGAAATGGGTGCAAACAGAGTTGGTGGGTGCCTGGGTATGAGGGCTCCTTAACCATGTAATTCCAGTCTGTGCCTTGCTCCTCGATTCTAGGCCTCAGTTCCAGCTGCCAGCTGTATATCTCTCTGGCCTCCACTCCCTCAGCAGGGCTCAGGTCTTCCCCCTTATGCGCTCCTCCTCGGGCCACAATCCCCGATTCTGTTAACAGCACTGCCAAGATGTGGCTGAGGGGAATGATTAAGGCCTGCTCTGGGGCCCCAGTGCCTGGGTTTAGCTCAGGCTCCACCACTTACCAGCTATGCTACTTGAGATAATGAACCTCCTAGAATCTGTTTTACCCTATAAAATGAAGACAGTGATGGTGTGGAATGCATAGGACTGTTGTATCAAAACTAATTAATAGCCCTGGCCGGTTTGGCTCAGCGGTTAGGGTGTTGGCCCGCAAACCAATTAGTTGTGTGTTCGATTCTGGTCAAGGGCACGTATCTCAGTTGCAGTTTGTCCCTGGCCCTGGTTGGGGTTGTGAGGAAGGCAGCCACTCAATGTATCCCTTTCATGTTGGTTGATGCTTCTCTCTCTCTTTCTGTCTCTCTCTCTCCCTCCCACTCTATCTGAACAAAAAGTGGAAAAATGTCCTTGGATGAGGATTAAACAAATAAATAAATAAAACTAATCAAGAGCCTGGCCAGTGTGGCTCAGTGGTTGAGAGTCAACCCATGTACCAGAAGGTCATCAGGTCGATTCCCAGTCAGGACACATGCCCAGGTTGTGGGCCAAATCCCCAGCGGGGGGCATGCAGGAGGCGGCCAATTGATGTGCTTTCTCATCAGTGTTTCTATCTCTCTCCCTCTCCCTTCCTCTTTCTCTAACATCGATAAAGAAAAACAAACCAAAACAAAAACTAATCAACAAAAAAGTGTGAGTGCCTGGGTTAGGAGCAGTGTTCAAGTCCTAGCTGGACACACACTGAGACCTTAGGCTCTTTTTCCAAACTGTGGTAAAGTGTATAACATAAAATTGACCCAGGTCGGTTTGGCTCAGCAGTTAGAGCATCGGCCCGCGGACCAGAGCGTCCCAGGTTCGGTTCCCGCTAAGGGCATGTACCTCGGTTGCAGTTTGTCCCCGGTCTCAGTTGGGGTTGTGCGGGTGGCAGCCAGTTGATGTGTTTCTCTCACGTCGGTGTTTCTCTCTCTCTTCCTCCCTGTCTCCCTCCACTCTATCTGAAGATGAATGCAAAATTGTCCTCGGGTGAGGCTAAAAAAAGAACAAACATAAAAGTTACCATATTAACCATTTTTAAGTGTACAGGTCAGTGGCATTAAGCACATTCACATTGTTGCGCAACCATTGGCACCATCCATCTCCAGAGCTTTTTCATCTGGCAAAACTAAAACTCTATACTTATTAAATTCCAACTTCCCATTTCCCCTTCCCCCCAGCCCCTAGCAACCACCATTCTATTTGTCTCTCAATTGGACTCTAATACTTAATATAAGCAGGATCATACAGTATTTTGTCCTTTTGTGTCTGGTTTATTTCACTCAGCATGTCTTTGAGGTTCATCCATGCTGTAGCGTATGTCAGAATTTCCTTCCTTTTTAAGGCTGAATAATATTCCATAATATTGCATGCATATACTTCAGTTTACCCATTCATCCATCAGTAGACACTGGCTTGCTTTCATCTTTTGGCTCTTGTGAATGATGCTGCGAGACCATGGGCTCTCCTCAGACCTGAGCCTCATTTCCTCTTCTACAAAGTGCACATGGCCAGGTAAATTACTTCTTGCCCCAGTGAAATCCCTCCTCAGCTGGCTCAGCATCCCCTCTGGCCCCCACTTCACCCTAAGCCTCATCCTCAGCTCTCCAAGCCAGGGCCATGACATGTGTAGCTGCCACTCTCTGTCTTCACGACATATGTGGACATTGGCCAACAAGGGCAGGCTTCCTATTCCAGGCATTTCTAGGACCCCACACAGCTTTGGTCAAGACTTGCTAGTTTAGGCGGGGTCCTCAGTTAGGTAACACTAGCCACCTCCACTTCAATGTTGAGCTGGCAGTTGGGAAATGCCCACTACCCAGTTCAAGTTCAAGTCAGAAGCACTTTGCTTACGCCACCCAGTGGCCTGCTGACAAGCAAGGAGGATTTTCCCAAGACTCTAGTTGTGCCTCTACAGCACAAGGCTCCAGTGATTCCAGGGTGTCCTGCTTCAACCCCTCAAGGTGAGGAGGCTAGGGAGGGGAGGGCACACTACAACTCCCAGAGGTCGCCGGGCCCAGGGGGCGGCCCCTGCTGGCGGAGACTCGCACCCACCAACCAGAGCCGGAGAGGGGCGGAGATCAGTGCAGGGCTCGGGGGCGGGGCGGGACCAGGGCGGGGCGAGGGCGGGGCGGCGAGGCGGCCAGTGCGCCCGGAGCGCGGGGTTCGGGAGCCGCGCGTGCGGAGGGCTCGGCGCGCCGCGGGACCTCGCCGGGCCATGGGTAAGCCGCTCGCGGCCAGCGGGGACGGGGCTGGCTGCCCGCGGGGAGCACGAGGCCGCGGCTCTGGGTCTCCCCGGGCCGCGCGGCCGTGGGCACCGCTTCGGGGAGCGGAGCGGGGCCGGGGCGCACTCCCGGGCGCGGGGACCCAGCTAGCCCAGGCTCTAAGCCGGCCCGGGGCGCCGCCGCCTCCGCCCGCTCGGAGGGACCCAGGTGTCGGCGCGCTCTTCGAAAAGGAAAGACAAAATGTTCTGGCGGCTAGGGGCTTCCCGGGCGTTTATCTCGAAACTCTGCTCGCCGTCTCCTGACCGAGATGTGCCGAGTCCTGCACGCTCTGTCATCCCACTTCCTGCTGTGGTTTCAATCTCGAGCTGGCCTCAGCTAATTTGTTGTGACAGCTGTCCGCGGCCGTCGCCCTGCCCCCCCGCCCCCGGCTGCGCCCCCATCGGCTCCCCCCGCCCCATCTGCTCCAGGACCCCCGCTTATCCACACCCCCACGTCCCCCCGCTTCCAGCTCTCCCCATCTGTCCCCCGCCCTCCCATCTGCCCCCCACCCCCACCTGCCCCCCGCCTCCCTCTACCCGTCTGCCCCCAGTTCTCAGAACCCGCCGCGCCGCCGGGAAGAGGCTCGGGTCCGGGGCGCGCTCCCCACCGCGCCCGCCGTTTCCTGAAAGTGACGCTGCGCGGGTTTTGAAGAACTTGCTCCGCGCACTTTGAAGAATCGCTGGTTCCTCTTTCCGTCGGGGCCGCGCTGGTCCTCCGCGCTCGCCGCTTCTCGCCCACCCTTTCTTTCTCTTTCCTCTCGCTTTCCCCCTTTTCCTCTCGGGTCTCCCCTTGTGTCTCCTGCTCACCCTCCTCGTCCCCGCGGCAGAAAAGGGTCTCTGCCCTCCGCTCTCCTGTTCTTTCTGTCTACTCCCCTCTCCGCTCTCCAGACGGAAAGGCGGCCGGGAGGGGTTGGGTTCCTCCGCTGCGTCAAGGGGCACCACCTACCCCCCAATCCTGCAGACCCCCGAGGGCTCCGGGTGCCGATCCTGAGCCACTACGCTGGCCAGGCCCAGCGTCCCTTTGCGGGGTCCTCAGCCGGCCCCGAAGTGAGGATAACCGGTATTTCTTGCTCCTCTGGAGCAACACCGTTGGGGGTATCGGGGTCTCTGCGACTGCAGGGCAGGGGAGGGGTGAGAGATGGCAGCTAGAAGGTCGGCCCCTAGTGGAGTTCCAGGGTCCCCTCGAGCTCGGGCACCGTCTGTCTACGCCGGGAACTTGAAGTGGCAGAGGTAGAAAAGCCCCTCGGCCCCTCCTTTGATTTAGTCTGAGGCCCGGAGACCACCCAGGTCCCGCCGGTGAGGGAGGGCAGCCCCCCACATCTCCTGTCTGGGGGCGGGGAATGGCTGCGGTGGCCCACACTCTCTCCTAGTTCCCGCACCCCCAGTGAGCACGCCCAGGAGAGCCACCCTGGGGACATCTGGGAGTGGAGTGGAAGGCACCAGGGCCGAGGGTGGCCCCGCAGGGGTCAAGCTGTGCCTGTACTGTTGGCCACAACTGGATAAGCCCCTGCGCCTGGCGTCTCAAAGTGCAGTGGGAAGACAGAATACAGTTCTTGGGGGCACAGGAAACAGGCCAGGGCTGGAGCTGCTACTGTTCTCATCACCTGTCACCCAGACTTGGTGGGGAGGGGCATGGGGATGCAGCCCTGTCCTGGAATAGGGTCTCTTAGGACACGCCAGAGCTGCTAAGAGGGACTGGAGTCCCAGTAGGGCCTGGGAGCTGGGGGTCTCACATTGGTGCCCCAGGCCCCTCCTTTTCTATATTCTCTCCAGACTGGACCCAGCAGCTGGCAGACCCTGTCTCCCTTCACCCCCCACCCCTGCTGAGACACTGAGGCAAGGCTGACAGAATCTGCACCCTGAGCCCTCGGGGTCCCGTGTCCAGCTGTCTGTCCTCCAGAAACTGCCCACTGGAGTAGTGCCCACCAGGACTCCGCGGGGCCGCTGGCTCCTGGGCCACAGAGTGGACTGGCTGCTTCAAAAGCTGCCTTTGTTTGGGCTCCAGCTGAAGCTAAGAACAACTTAAGCCAGGCCCTTCAGGCGAAGGGGTGGGGCGGTGTCTGCTGGTTGCTGTTGAGGCTGCTGTTACCATTATTGTCAAAATTGACACAGTGCTCCCAGTAGGTGACTTTTCTTGAAAGGAAGTGTCACTTCCCATCACCCCAAGTGTGAATTGGGCGGGGCGGGGGTGGGAGGGAGAGAGGGGGCAGTTAGGGGAGAGGGGTGAGAGGAGATGTGGCATGGCCTGGCACTGGGTCAGCACTGAGTCACTGATTGGTTGTGTGGCTTTGAACTAAGCCCCTCTCTGGGCATCAGGAGTGTCTGACATCAAGTGGCTCATGCTGGTCTGTGGGGCTGATGTCTATGGAGCTCTGCGCCTGCCCTACACTGCTCTGGGGCGTGGGACACGAGGGGGGTGCCGAACAGGACAGTCAGACCTCAGACCTCACAGAGGGTGCATGTGTGCGTGAGTACACAGACACATTCACACACTCACAGTCACACTGTCATACATACTCATGCACACATGCACTCACAGTGGCAGTCACACGTACACTCAATACCTGGTACACTCTCAGTCACGCTCACTTGGCTGGTTTGTGGGGGAAACCTCATTTCTCACTTTGCTCTGCTCAGCACCTTGGGTCCGAGGAGTCTAGCACAGCCACTTTATAGGTGGGGACACCGAGGCACAGAAGGTGACTGGCTTGATAAAGATGTACCTGTGTGGTGTCAGAGCCCCCTCCCCATCTCTGCACCCTCATCTGATCTCAGCAGGCTCTTGTTAGCACATGGCAAGTTTGAACCCCTGAGCAAAGATAAGGAACTCTGGTCTCCTGTTCCTGTTAGAAAACCTCCAGAGCCCTGGCCGGTGTGGCTCTGGAGTGTCAGCGGGTAGCAGGTTCGATTCCCCATCAAGGGCATATACCTGGGTTGCAGACTCCATCCCCGACCCTAGTCAGGGTTGTGCGGGAGGCAGCCAATTGATGTGTCTCTCTCACATTGATATTTCTCTCTCTCCCTCCCTTCCACTCTGAAAAATCAATGGAAAAATATCCTTGGGTGAGGATTAACAAAAGACAAACAAAACAAAACAAAAAAACTCTAGACCTTAGGGTTCAGTATCTTGGGACAGTCCAACTGCTCTGGTTCTGATCCCGAACCCCTCTACCACTAGTAAGCTGTGTGACCCCAGGTAAGTTACTAAGACTTTCTGGGTCTTAGGTATTGTGTCTTTAAAAGGGGGGACACACTGGTGCTGGGAGAATCAGTGAGGCCAGTGCGAGGTGCCTGTGCCCGAGCACCGACTGGAGCTGGGGAAGTGCAGAGCGGAGGGAGGGATGGATGCAAGACTAGTGGATTGCAGACAGCGCCCTCTGTTGGAGTTAGAGGCTGAAACTAACTTCCTCAAGGGGCATGGTTTTAGGTCCTGCCATGAAATTAGAGATTCCTAACACAGGAAGGGTCTTGCAGTCCCCTGCCAGCAGCTGCCACGCCCCCTCTCTGCCCAGTGAGGGGCTGGGTGCACCTGGCCCAGCCACCAGCCTCCCTCTGTCTTCTTCCCAACCAGGAAGTGAGGGGATGTTGGGCCCTGGAGCCAGTTCCTACCCTCTGTTATCAAGGTTTTCCTCACACCATTACCTCCATTCACAAAATGTGAGGATTAAGTTTAAAAGGAAGGACACAGGGCCTTTAAGAAGGACCATCTTGCGGACCACAAAGGGAGACCTGAACCCGAAAAGAGAGATGTAATACAGAAAGGTGTTATTTCTCCTTAAAGCAATTTCTAGATTTAAATGCAAGTCAATCAAAATCCAGTGGGTGTTGGCTTTTTTTTTTATTAAGGGAATGTGAAAAATTATCCTAAAGTTCAGATGGCATTTTTTAAAACAGAAGAGTAGTGATGGGGACATGCCCTCTGGATAGTAAGTTCTACAAAGCCACAAAAATTACAACAGTGCGCACGGTCCCAGCATTCCACAGTGAATGGGACAAAACCGAAAGCCCAAACCCGTCCCAGATGTCCTCCTTAGAAGCCTTTGGATTGTGGGAAAAGTAGCATTTCAAATCATTGGGGGCAGGGGGTCACTCAGTCAATACTGGGACCACCTAACCAGTGGGGAGAGGAATAGGGTTAGGTTCCTATCTCATACTTTATAGATTCCAAATGTGTTCAAAGTAAACAATGAAACAGCGGTCACCATTATTGTCACTGTTGCTTCCTGGATGAAAAAGCAGTGTCTGAAAGCCACTCTTTGGAGAGCAGGGGTGGTTGTAATTGAATCGGCCTCCTCTGAGGCTTTGTGCTCAGGGGGTCTGGACCTGTAAGCCTGGAGCAAGGCAGTCATGCAGTGGCTCCGTGGGCCGCAGCGGTCACCCAGGGCAGGTGGGCTTCTCCTGCCTCTGCAGGCTGGATGTGGCTGGGAGACCCGGATGGCCCTGCCCTGGGAGGTGTGAGCACGGAGGCTGGGCAGGTAGGAGGACTGGCCCATCACCTATGGCAAGGGAGTTCAGACTTATTTTTTTAGCAGAACCCTTTTTGCAAATGCAGATTTCCTGGAGCCCTGATCTACAAGTGACTGGGGAAGGAAGGGTTAGGACAGCGGGCCAGGTCCCAGGGCACCCGGGACTCTCCCTCCAGCGGCTAAGGCTGTGACAGTTGGGCCGGAAGGCTCGGCCAGGACAGGAGAGCATACTGGCCCTGGTTGGGAGAGAATGGAGGCCGAGGTCGTGTGGGGACTCAGCTGGACACAGAGGTAAAGAGAGTTTGTCTCTTTGTGGCTCTCGGCAAGCTCTCTAATCCCTTTGCTGTCTGAGGTTAAATAGCTCAGATTGGTGACCTCCTTTCCAGGTAACCGGAGCACCTGACTCCAGGATATCTTTCCCAGGTGTGGCTCAAGCAGAGCTCACCACCGAACCCCAGCAGAAGGGACTAGAGATCCTCGCCCGCCCGGGGCTCTCACCTCGGCTGCCCTGCAATCCCCCTGGGGAGCTTTAAACTCGGATGCCCCTGGCAGGACCTCAAATCACTCGGGGTGGGGGGTGGGGAGACAGTGTCTTTAGATTGCTCCCCAGGGGATTCTCATGGGCCCTGTTCCAACCACCTATTTCTCTGAGGCCGCAGGGCAGACTTGCCAGGTCACAGCCACTCTACAGGAGGGCTCCAGTGAGGAGCCCAGGTCACAGGAACAGGTGGAGAGAGTCCTCTGACGCGGAGGATCTGAGCCAGCAGGACAGAGGGAGAGGTCGTGGAAGCAGCACGGAGGGCGCGGAGGCAGCAGGTGCTCCCCTGACCCCGAAGACTTCAGGAATTCAGACAGTTACGGAGGACTCCCGGGCTTTCCCTCCGATTCACAGACGGAAGACGAGGCACAGAGGTGTCCAAGGAAAACATCAGCCTGGGGAGGTCATTCATTGTTTGTTTTTTAATTTTTTTTTTTATCCTCACCCGAGGACATTTTTCCATTTTTTTGTTCAGACAGAGCGCGAGGGAGAGAGAGGAAGAGAGAGAGGGAGAAACATCGATGTGAAGGGACACATTGAGTGGCTGCCACCCGCTCGACCAACCAGGGCCGGGGACAAACTGCAACCGAGGTACGTGCCCTTAGCGGGAACCAAACCCGGGCCTCTCTGTACCGCAGGCCGACGCTCCAACCGCTGAGCCAAACCAACCAGGGCCATTGTTTGTTTTTTAAATCCTCACCTGAGGATATGTTGAGAGAGAGAGAGAGAGAGAGAGAGAGAAACAAACATCCAATGTGAGAGAGAAACATCAGTGGGTTGCCTCCCATACATTCCCTGACCAGAAATCAAACCCCAAACCTTTTGGTGTAGAGATGACACGCCAGCCCACTGAGCCACGCATCCGGGCTGGAGTGGGGTCACTGTTAGCAACCAGTTGTTTCTGGAGATCGACCTTGTCTCTGGTGGTCAGAAGCCAGCCCGAGAGGATGGCCCTGTCTCTCTGACAAGGGTTAGGACTGGTTTCTCTTCCAGGCTTAGACTCCTCCTCAAGGTCAGACAGACTTTGTTCTGAATTCTGGTTTCCCAGGGGGACAAGAACTTAGCCTCTCTGGCTTCAGTTTTCCCCTCTTTAAAATGCAGGCCCTTCTGGGACTAAATAAGAGCCAGGCTCACCAAGCCCAGGACCCACGCAGCGGAGGGGCACTTTCGTGAACAGCTCTGACAGGGACGACACCCAGTGGCCAAAGGTTCTAACAGTATGTGCCTCTGGGTGCCGCTGGCCTCGGGGGCCAGGCCGCGGGTCTGTTGTTAAGATTTTTGTGTGTCTGGGATGGAGGGTAACCTAACAGGTTCCCCGCAGTAAGCATTTCCTGAGCTGATGTGAACTGGGACTATGGAGCAGTTCATATTAGATTAACAAAAAAAAAAAAGGAAAGGAAAGAAGGGAAGGTTGGCCAAAAGATGTGGCTTCCTGGCCTCGGATCTGCTGCCAGCCGGCCGTGCGGTTCGAGGCAGTTTCCATGCGGTGTTCTTGGCGGTGGCGGGGCGCTGGGGTTTGCAGCCATCAGCTCATGCTGCCCTGAGCGAAGGGTCCCTGCTCCTCCCAGCATTCACCCCAACCAGCCACATGCCACACAGTGGTCAGGACGGGGTGAGGAGTGAGGAGACAGGGGGAGCACTGTGCTTAGCTGGGGAGCGGCGGGGCGGGCGGGGCGGGAAAAGTCCAGTGCATCACAAACAGGACTTCCTGTGTTCTGAATTATTCCTGGAGGATCTAAGTTGAAGCCCCATGGTGCGTTGGGGGCTCACACATATGGCAGACCCAGCAGCTTTCCCAGTGTAGCTGAGCTGCCGTGGAAACGTTCTGCCTGGATGTGGGGCCGGCCTTGGAGACAGCACCCCGCAGCGCACCCCCCAGCACCCCCCAGCCCTCGGCCTCCTCTGACTTGATCCCCAGCTGGTTTAGGATTTCTTTCAGAGATGCAGGGAGATGCTGGAACAGAGGAAGGACAAGTGCCAGGGAGGGACCTGGTGGGGGTTGAACCCCAGAGAGCAGAGGGTCAGCCCACGGGGGCAGAGGACCCCCGCAGAGGACGGGAGGACTCCCCGCCTGTCCCTGGGAGCCTTTCCTCACCACCTGTTCTCCCTCTCCTCACAGCATCTCCTGTCAAAGGGAGAAGGAAACAGTCAGAGGGGGGTGACTCCCTAGACCCACCTGTGTCCCCTCAACCTGACGGTGAGCAAAGCAGGAGCCAGAGCCCACTCCCGCTGGAGGTGAGTTGGGCGATTTTCTCCCGGTCCTTTTCGGGTCCTCGGAGACCCCCCAAGCTCTCAGGAGGGGACGTGTGCCCTCCTCCAGTGCTACAGAGCAAGGAGAGGGGCCCAGCCGTGGTCCAGGCCCCGCACAGGGAGGCGAGGCCGGGCAGGCAGGACGGCTGCCTTCACGAGGCTGGGCTGTCAGACTTCTTCGTCACAGTGGAGCCTTTATCAAATGGAGAGTTCCTGGAACCCTGATCAGATGACACAGATACGAGTACCACCCCTGGTGTAAAACTACATTTACATCTGTCTGTCCATCCAGTGTGTGTGGACGTGCAAGTCACTTGGTGAGATCAGGGAGGCTGTCTCGCGATGAGCTCCGTCTCAGGAGGCACCGTGGGGGACAGTGCAGTGGCCAGTCTCCGCACCCATTCCTTGTGGCTGTTTGCTTGGGTGGCAGCCTGGAGTAAAAACCCTAATCCCTGTAGCAAAGTGGCTGTAAGTATCAGTTCACAGCCTGTGGAGTTCCGGGAAGAGGGGCAGAAGCACAGGGGCATGGGAGGGGCGGCAGTGAGCGCCCCACTTCGGGCGGCACCAGCCCAGTGCCTCGGTCTCCAGCACGTTACGGTGTCAGGTAACGTGTGACCTTGTGTTTATTATCAGAGCTCTCGGATAAGTCAGAAACACTGAAACAGCACTCGATAGGATATTTGAGGACTGCATGGCTCTCTGCACTGTTCTGGGCCCAGATGGTTACATCCCTCTGGTATTTGGGGCCTCCCCACACATGACCTGGGAGCTGTCTCTTCCCTGAGCCCACAGCCCCAGCCCAGCCACACCCTCTGCCCTGAGCACTAGCCAGATGAACAGCATCAGTAGAAACTGCACCTCTGGGAGCAGAAACCAAGTTCTGTGCATCCAACTGAAGGGTGCCAGGAGCCCAGGACACGGCTCCACCCGAGTGCACACAGACTGGCAGAGAGGAAGGCCGCCATGGCAAAGGCACCTTTATTCCTGCAGCTTTTTAAAAATTCCTTGCCCTGGCTGGTTTGGCTCAGCGGTTAGAGTGTCGACCTGTCGACCTGCGGTCCAGAGAGACCCAGGTTCGGTTCCCGCTAAGGGCACGTACCTCAGTTGCAGTTTGTCCCCAGCCCTGGTTGGGTTGTGCGGGTGGCAGCCACTTGATGTGTCCCTTTCACGTCGATGTTTCTCTCTCTCTCTCACCCCCTTCCGCTCTATCTGAACAAAAAATGTCCTTGGGTGAGGATAAAAATAAATTTTAAAAAGTTTTTTTAAATCCTCACCCAATGTCTATTGATTTTAGAGAGAGGAAGGGAGAGAGAAACATCGACGTGAGAGAAAAACATCCATCGCTTGCCTCCCATATGTGCCCCAATAGGGACTGAACCCAAAACCTTTTGGTATGTGGGACGATGCTCCAACCCCCTGAGCCACCCAGCTAGGGCTGCTCCTTCAGCTTTGCCCACAGGGGCCATCTGGAGGCCTGGGGACACCAAGCCTGCCTCCAGGAACTCAGTCTAGTAGAGGAGCTGAGACACAGAGGGAACCAAGGCCGAGCCAGATGCAGAGTGGTCTGTGCCTGAGGCCTGGAGGAGGTGCGAGCTGCCTGTGGCCGTCTCCAGAACCCGGCTCTGTGGACCTGCCTGGGGTCCTGGGCACTAATCGCTGACAGCGGCATCTCTCTGACACCAGGACGATCGGCCACTCCAGCCCAGATCGGGTGCTGGCTGCCTGCTGCCCCCTGTGGGAGCCTGGGCGGGGGCCACACAGCTGGTTCCTCCAGCAGCCAGTGGTTCAGCCTCTCCCCAGCCACCCACTGGGGGCTGATCCCAACGCCTCCTGTTCTTTCCCCAGGACTCCCCCGAGGCAGGCGGGGAGCGGGAGGAGGAGCAGGAGCGGGAGGAGGAGCAGGCCTTCCTGGTCAGCCTCTACAAGTTCATGAAGGAGCGACACACGCCTATCGAGAGGGTGCCCCATCTTGGCTTCAAGCAGAGTGCGTCCCTGGGGTGCAGGCAGGGAGGGGGGCCCGGTAGGGGACCCCACCCAGGCAGGGCATCGGGGCAGGCATATGCACTCTGGTGACCCCAACACTGCCAGCCACAGGGGCTGCACATAGAAAGGGTGACCCTTCCAGGGACTGGGTTGGCAGCGGGCAGGGCCAGATTCCCACCCTCACTGGGCCGCGGGGCACAGGGCTCGCCCGGCCTGCCATCGTCTGGTTCTGTGCCTGGCAGGGCATGGGAGCGGGCTGCTGGCTGCCCCTCCTCTGGCAGGGGCTGACAGCAGCCCTGCCCTCCCTCTCCAGTTAACCTGTGGAAGATCTACAAGGCGGTGGAGAAGCTGGGGGCCTATGAGATGGTAAGGAAGGCACCTGAGTCCTCACCACGCTGCGTCTGCCCGCACATCCCAGCTTGCACCCAGGGGGAGCTGGGGAAGAGGGTGAGCCCACCAGAGCTGCCCTTGCCTCCAGACTGGAGGAGGCGGGGTCCCGAGTCCTGCCCCTCCCCACTTCCTTGCATGCAGAGGGAGGGAGGGGGTCACTGCTCAGTGTTTCCTCTGGTCCCCATCTGTTCCGCCTTCCCCAGCTTGAGCCTGGAAAGCTGCTTGGGCCAGCATCCCTGACCAGGGGTGGGGACGGGTCGCTGGCCTGCCACCAGATGCGCCCTCCAACTTCCCCGCTCCCCCAACCTGGCCCTGTTGCTAGTGGGCACCCTGCCTCACCTGGTGCCTTGCAGGTGACCGGCCGCCGCCTCTGGAAGAACGTGTACGATGAGCTGGGGGGCAGCCCAGGCAGCACCAGCGCGGCCACCTGCACGCGCCGCCACTACGAGAGGTGGGCTGGGCCGCAGGGGCGCGGGTGAGGAGTGGGTGCCGGAGAACACGCGGCTGTGTACAGGGGTGGGGCATGTGCCCTGCTGCTCATGGGAGCGCTGGACAGGGCGAGGAAGAGCTTGGCCCGGCTGCCGGCTGCACGGTCGTGGGAGGAGCAAGGGGTGTGGCCACGGGAAGGGTGGGGGTGTGGCCTTGGCCTCCTGGTAGACCTGCCGCCCTCCTTAGGCTGGTCCTCCCATACGTGCGGCACCTGAAGGGGGAGGATGACAAGCCGCTGCCCCCTTCCAAGCCCAGGAAGCAGTACAAGATGGCCAAGGAGGCTCCGGGGGACGTCGGGACCACTGAGAGGTCAAAGAAGGCCAAGGAGGAGAAGCCAGTGGGCCAGGTGAGCTCCGAGCCCAGCGGGGCGCCAGCTGCCCCGGGACATGCCTGTGCCCTGCCTCTGGAGCTGCCCCACCTGCCCGCACTGTGGCCACACAGCTGCCTGCCCAGAGCACCCAGTCTGTTGCTGTCAACCGTTCACTATTTGAGGGCCCACCTGGGGTGTGAACTCCAGTCTGCACTCCATTCTCTAGCCCTGTGTCCTGACACCAGGCTGTGTCCGCTCAGAGGACAGGCCCCCTTTTGAAAAGGCTGCGCAGAGGCACTGGCTGGCGAGCAGAGGCTGCTGAGCACCCTGGGCCGCTGCCCCCGCTGCCCCGGGGCAGGATGCGTGGCTCACGCCCCGCCCTAAGGCCCGGCCTTGTCTCACTTTAGGTGATGCCAGGAAAGACCAAGGAAGACACTGCTGGCCTGGCGAGGCCCCCCAGCCAGGAGCCCCACCAGGACAGCACGGAACAGCCGGGCCCAGCTCCCGGGTCCTCGCTGCCCTTCGTGGGTGCCAGTGGCTGCCCTGAGGCCTACAAGCGGCTCCTGTCCAGCTTTTACTGCAAAGGGACACATGGCATCATGTCACCACTGGCCAAAAAGAAGCTGCTGGCCCAGGTGAGCCAGGCAGAAGCCTTGCAGTGCCAGGAGGAGAGCTGTCGCCACGGGGCTGGCAGCCCTGACGGGGAGCCTCCAGCATCCCCAGCTGCTCGCCCCACCGAGAGTCCCCGGAGCCCAGGAGGGTCACTGGAGAACCACCGGCTCCGGCTGGCCCCTCGGGAAGGATCAGGGGCCCCTGCTGGAAGCCTCAGGGAGGAGGCTCAGGCGGGCCTCCACCCCCCGGCCCCCGTCTTCACCGGCTGCTTCCATGCCTACCCCACTAAGGTGCTAAAGCCCATCAGCCAGCACCCCCGGGACTTCTTTCCCCATCTCAAAGAGGGGGTGCTCTTGGGGTCCCCTGGCAGAGAGGAGGGGCTGCCAGTCAAAGAGTCGCCACTGGTGTGGGGCGGGGATGTCAACCGTCCCTCTGCCTTCCACAAAGGTGGTTCCAGAAAAGGCAGCCTCTACCCCAAGCCCAAAGCCTGCTGGGTGTCCCCCATGGCCAAGGTCCCTGCTGAGAGCCCCGCGCCCCTGCCCCCTTGTCCTGGCAGCCCAGGCCTCAGCAAGCGCAGCCGGGAGGGAGAGGGCTTCACCCCCGCTGGCAAGAGACTGCAGGCGGTGTCCCCCCGCCTCAAGGAGGTGGAGGCCACAGAGCGTGCAGCCAAGTCTGTGGGGCCCGGCGTGGCTGTCTCCTGCCTGCTGGGCCCGGCCCTGGGTCCTGCCCTCCCGGAGGCCTACAGGGGCGCCATGCTGCGCTGCCCACTGAACTTCACTGGCACCCCGGACCCCTTAAAGGGCCAGGCTACGCTCCCCTTCAGCCCCCTGGTCATCCCGGCCTTCCCGGCTCACTTCCTGGCTACGACAGCCCCCTCGCCCATGGCCGCTGGCCTTATGCACTTCCCCCCAGCACCCCTCGACAGTGCCCTCCGCCACAGACTTCGCCCAGCCTCATCTGCATGGCACGTGCCGCCTGCCACAGCCTACGCAGCACCCCACTTCTTCCACCTCAATACCAAGCTGTAGGTCCGAGCCCACAGCTGTGTGTGCTATGGAGGGTCTGACGCAGCCCGAGGTGGGGACACTGCCAGTGGGGTCCTGGCTGAAGCCCGTTCCACAGGCCACAGGAGAGCTCGGCTGTGCCCAGTGCAGGAATGGGCCCTTGGGGCAGCCTGGCACAGAGCCGGGCGGTGGGAACACGGTTTGTCTCCGGGGAGCAGCCTGAGCCTGGGGGCTGGGGGTCCAGTTGTAGGACGGCCTTGGGAGAGGCCGGTGCAGAGCTGGCAGCTCCCAGTGGGGCCACCAGAGCGGAGGCCAAGAACAGGGTGAGGAGCCGAGAAGCCACATAGCTCGAGGCATCCAGGTGTCCATGGAAAATCCAATAAAACGCCATTGTGAATCCACTTGATCCGAGGTGTACATGGTGTAACTTTCTGGAGAGCTAGTGAGGCAGGGACATGTTTGTGGGTGGGATTGCTAGTGGGACGGCCTGGGGACCCAAGGAGAGGGACTTCACTGGCACCCCAGAACCTAAGAGAGTGGGACCCAAAGCAAAACAGCCTCCTGCTCCGATTTCAGCAGGCTGTGACGTTAGTCCTATGTCCACTTTCCTGGTGGAGCCCCAGGACGACTGCCCACTACCTTCCTTACCCTCCACGGGTCCTGAGACTCAGAGAGGGCCAGCAACTTGCCCAGGTTCCCCCGGCAGGAAGAGGCAGAACAGACGTGCGACTCCAGCACTGGAACCTGAGCACAAGCCCCAGCAGAGGGATGTGCTCTGCAGCTGCTAGTGCTCCTGGAGCCTGAACTGGTTTGCCAGGGGGTGGCATGGGCTCCCAAGGCCTGTTCGTTCTCCAGAACCCCTTACCTGCCCCCCACTTTTTCCACTGGGGGCACCTGTAGGGAAAGAGAGCAAAGGGGCCAGAAGCTCGGCCTGGACGTCTGCACTGCTTCAGGTGTGGTTGTTCCAGGGGCTCACTCACCCCACAGCCCACGGCCCTCCTCCCTGTGGGCTCTGGGGAGCAGTGGGGTTGAGTCAGAGAGAAGGAGGGAGGGAGGGCCCCCTTCAAAGCATCACTCTTGCCCTGGCTGGTGTGGCTCAATTGGTCACTTAAACTGAAAGCTTGCGGGTTTGAGCCTGGTCGGGCGGGTGTAGATGAGAGGCAACCAGTGATCTCTGGATCTCGATCTCTCTCTCTCTCTCCCCTCTCCCTCCTTCCCTCTCTCCATTTTTCTCCAAAATCAGTGGGCATGACCTCAGATGAGGATTTTTTTTTAAATCCTTACCCAAGGACATTTTTTTTCCATTTTTTGTTCAGATAGAGTGGGAGGAAGAGAGAGAGAGAAACATCGATGTGAAAGGGACACATCGAGTGGCTGCCACCCATACAACCAACCAGGGCCGGGGACAAACTGCAACCAAGGTACGCGCCCTTAGCAGGATCTGAACCCAGGTCTCTGGACTGCAGGCCGGTGCTCTAACCACTGAGCCAAACCAGCCAGGGCGAGGATTTTTAAAAAACATTACTTTGCCCAGCTGGTGTGGCTCAGTGGTTGAATGTCAACCCATGCACCAAGAGATTGCCGGTTCGATTCGCGGTCAGGACACATGCCCAGGTTGTGGGCCCAATCCCCAGTGGGGGGCATGCAGGAGGTGGCTAGTCGATGTCCTCTCTCATTGATGTTTCTATCTCCCTCTCCCTTTTAAAAAAAAATCAATAAAGAAAAATAAATTTTAAAAAGATCACACCCCCTGTCCTCCCCAGGCTGTATGTTTTTAGAGCTGCACACTTGTTCCTGAGAAGACAGCGCCCCGACTGGGCAGGGCAGGCAGACACTGGGGTGCCAGGTCCTTGACTTCTGCCTCAGATTGGTCACCAGGTAGCATTTCATAGCACCACTGGAACTCACTCTGCCCTCTGGGGCACTTATAAGCTCAGACCACAGGAGGGGCAATTAGTGTGACCATCCCTTAGTGAGCAGGCTGAGGCCAGAAACACAAGACCACCACTGAGCGTGGTGGAACCCGGACCAGGCACACTCAACGTGTCTGCAGCAGCGGGTGGGCTGCCAGGGCTGAAGGCTATCCTGCCCACACTCCAACTAAGGCACTCAGATGGCCATAGGTAAGGTAGCTGCCCTCCATGCTAGGGCCAGCGATGGGGAAGTTGGAAGATGATGGTCATCGCTGTTGGGAACACTCTCAGGCTCTGCAGGGGGAATGTCCCAATTCTCCACCCCCTCCTCCTGGGAGCTGCCAGATGCCAGTCCAAGGAGCTATGAGTAGCTGCATGACCTCCAGCCCTGAGCTCCAGTTCCCACACACACTCATGTACTGCCCACCTCTCCAAGCCTCTGGAGGAGGGGTGTGAAGGCCACCTGTTGTGTGTAGGGTCCCCTTCATCTGCAAAGCCACAGCACCCTCAGGTAGCCAGGTGCATCTGGCGGCAGTACTTGGGCACAGGCTTCTCAGAGCTGTGGTGGCGGCGCCCTCTGGAGGCTGTCCTGAGGATTACACCTGTCCGCTTGGGGCTGGGCACAGCACTGCAGCGTGCTTGGGTGTCAGCAAAGGCCCAGGGCTAAGTGTGGACAGGCTTCCTCAAACACATCTCTGCGCTGTGCCCTGAAGCTCCTCTATGCCAGCTTAGCACGATTCCCCCTCACAATTCCCGGAGAAGGACTGTCCTCATTTACGAATGAGGAAACAGCTCCGAGATCTGGAACTTCAGGCCCGAGGCTGGGCTGCGGGGACGGGAGCCTGGCAGCCTGCATGTGCCTCTGAGCTGGAGCAGGAGGAGGAGGGGACGGCCGACAGGGCACCGGGCTGCATGTCCAGAGCCTCCCAGAGCTGAGCGTGCTGGGAGCAGAGGAGCGCCCTGGTCCTGGCTTAGCAAGAGCCCTGAGCTCTCAGGTGGGATCGGAGGCTGAGGTGGGGCAGGGAGCCCACTCACAGTCACACACAGAGGCAGCAGATTTGGGCACAGATGGGGGGGCATGACCTCCTCTGGTGGGCGCTGTTGTTTTCCTAGTGAGGGTGGGGCCCAGGGGTTGGAGGTTTGAGTAGGGAGAAGAGATGACAGATCTGAAGAGGGAGCCGGTGCGCTGGGCAGTGCCCGGGGGTTCTGAGAGGCACGGGTTCGACCTGAGGTCAATGGCACAAGTGGCGGTGAGACTGGCAGTGGTGAGGCGTTCTCCTTGCCACCTTGGCGATAGGTTGCAGTGGATTCTTGCAAGTGGGATGTGCTGGGAGAGTCCAGGAAGCAAGAGAGGGACCGGGTGCTAAGGTTACAAAAACATTTTTTTTTTAAATCATGAGTCAAAACAAACCCATCTTTAGGCCACTGTGTGCCCCTTGGGCAAGAGGGACAACAGAGTGGCCCTGGCCGGTTTGGCTCAGCGGTTAGAGCGTCGGCCTGCAGTACAGAGAGACTCAGGTTCGGTTCCTGCTAAGGGCACGTACCTCGGTTGCAGTTTGTCCCCGGCCCTGATTGGGTCGTGCGGGTGGCAGCCACTCAATGTGTCCCTTTCACATCAATGTTTCTCTCTCTCTCTCTCTCTCTCTCTCTCTCTCCCTCCCTCCCACTCCATCTGAACAGAAAATGGAAAAAAATGTCCTCGGGTGAGGATTAAAAAAAAAAAAAAAAGAGGGACAACAGTGTGGCCCCAGGGTTGAAGCTGGGTGAGGAGAGGTGAGGACAGGGAGCGAGGGACCCAGGCAGGTGGGGGTTGGGGGGAGAGAATATCACTGGAGGAGAGGAGGTCAAGGGCCAAGGGGTCCGGATGTGGGAAGCCTTGATTAAGATGAGCACAAACAAGCCCTGGCCGGTTTGGCTCAGCGGTTAGAGCGTCGGCCTGTGGTCCAGAGAGACCTGGGTTTGGTTCCCACTAAGGGCACGTACCTCAGATGCAGTTTGTCCCCGGCCTTGGTTGGTCATGTGGGTGGCAGCCACTCGATGTGTCCCTTTCACGTCGATGTTTCTCTCTCTCTCTCTCTCTCCCTCCCACTCTATCTGAACAAAAAATGGGAAAAAATGTCCTCGGGGGAGGATTAAAAAAAAAAAAAGATCAGCACAAACAAGACAGTAGTCTATAAGCTATAAGCACTGGGGGGAGGGACTTGAGGTTCCATTGAGGACAGCAGCAATGACATCTCATGTCCTGATCAGAGTGGGAGCCACAGGTCCTGACACAGTGGGTGGCTCAGCCCCTTAGGGTAGTGTGGAGAGAAGCCCACTCTGCAGGGGCTGCAAGAGGAGTCTTGGTGGGCACAGCCAAGGCTGGCAATGGGAGGTAGGGGAAGGAGTAGCTGGTGCCCCACAGGCGAGAAATTTCTGTGGCTCAGGAAGGATTTAGGCTCAAGACCAGAGTCTGCAGACAGTGGCCTAAAGTTGGGTTTGTTTTGACTGGTGATTTTTTTAAAAAATGTTTTTGTAACGTTGCCAGCATTTAAAAGTCAAAAGTTCCATAAATATTGGGTATTGGGCTTCTCTTTAAAAATCAGAATTTCTGACCAACCAGTGTGGCTCAGTGGCTGAGCGTCAACCCATGCACCAAGATGTCGCCGGTTTGATTCCCGGTCAGGGCACATGCCAGGTTGTGGGCCAAATCCCCAGTGGGGGGCGTGCAGGAGGTGGCCAATCGACGTTCTCTCTCATCAATGTTTCTATCTCTCCCCCTCTCCCTTCCTCTCTCTCTCAAATCAATAAAGGAAAAACAATTTTTTAAAAAAATAAGAATTTCTGGTCATGTGGAGCCACTTCCTGGAGCTGAGTAGTGGCTGCTACCCCGTGGACAGGGTGGACCTGCCTACTCACTACGGTTCCTACAGCCCCTCTTGTCCCCAACCTTGAGGGGCTCAGCCCCCTGAGTCCTTGTGCTGTTCAGGCATTGGGTGGCTGCATCAACTCTTTGTTGTCATGGATGGGCCAAGGCCAGTTTCCTAAGCAAATGACTCCAAGGATGTCATTGCTGGAAAACTCAGTGGGCTTCCAGACCGGAAGGCAGGGCAGACTTGGGTCATTGCCAGCTCGCTCATGCAGTGTCCCCTGGTTTATGGGCCAGCAGGGGTAGCAGGTGGCGGGCTGGACAGGGCATGGGGTGCGGGTTCCCATCCTGCCTGACTTTTGCAGTATCCCAGCAGCTTCCACCCTTCCCTGGGTCACATCTGCCAATCTGTGAAATGGGTGCAGTCACTCCCACAGGCTCTGCACTGTGACCCAGAATGAGGTGCAGATGGGGTCTAGTGTCTGGCAAGGGGTAGGTGACCTGCCCCCTGAACACACTCCTGGTCACCAGAGGACCTTCCCAGCTCCCCTGGCCCCTGGCACTCCTGCAAAGCTAACATCACCTGCCCACAGCAAGAGGCAGCCACTGCCCAGCCCTGTCTGTGGGGCCCCCACGGGGA